AATCAGCCTTGCACAGGCAAAATGAAAGCGGTTTGCCTGTGCAAAAGCATGCTGCCCGTGTACCTCAAAAAGTGGAAAAATTGAAGAATAAAGAGGTAAAGCCTTATGAACCTCCCGCACCATTCCCTCAAAGGTTAATGAAGCCCATGGAAGACCCAAACTTCAAGAAATTTGTGAATATCTTCAAGCAACTTCAGATTAACATACCCTTGGCGGAGGCACTTGAACAGATGCCTGCATATGCTAAATTCTTATGGGAGTTGCTGACAAAGAAGCGCAAATGGGCTGATCTGGAGAAGGTAACCCTTACTTCTGAATGTAGTGCTGTGATTCAGAATAAATTACCAGAAAAGAGGGATGATCCGGGCAGCTTCACCATTCCATGTGTCATTGGAGGTACAGAATTCAATAAATCACTTTGTGATCTTGGAGCAGGAATTAATTTGATGCCATACTCAGTCTACAAGAAATTGGGATTGGGAGATGTTCTTAAGCCTACTCGGATCACTCTCCAATTGGCTGATCGATCAGTAAAAATTCCAAAAGGAGTGGTGGAGAATGTATTGGTGAAGGTGGGGAAGTTTATTCTCCCTACAGATTTTGTGATTCTGGAGATGGAAGAAGATCGGGGAGTGCCTCTCATTCTTGGTAGACCTTTTCTAGCCACTGGCGATGCACTCATCGATGTTGGGAGAGGCAAGTTGACATTCCGAGTAGGTAAGGAGGAGGAAATTTTTAATGTCTTCCAAGTTGATCATAATCACGATGCAATTGATGACCTTGAAAGTGGAGCTCGAGAAAGGAAAAATTCCTCTTCCTGTGATAGTGGATCAGCTGAAGTATCACATGCCCTAGCAACTCAAAGTCTGAAATCAAAGCAAGGGCAGAAATTCTTGCCAGATCACCTCAAGTATAGATATTTGGGTAAGGATTTCAATCTTCCTGTTATTATTCCTTCTTCACTGACATTGAAACAGGAAGAGTACCTGCTTGAGGCGCTGCAGTACCACCTACGCCTCACTAAAGGGTCTAACATGCCAGCTAAGAAGGTCATACCCAATTTTCGCACACCTGGCCCTGCAGAGGTGACTCATATGCTGGATGGAGGTTATGCATTCTATCATTGCTCGGGAGGGTATGCTGGATACCTTTCCATACCCATTGGTTGAAAGCTCCATGAACGTCAGGCTGAGGACGTTAAACAAGCGCTTCTTGGGAGGCAACCCAAGGTAAGTTTTCTTTTCTTTTGTTTAATTTTCTTTTTAGTTGTGTCAAACCCGTGCATGTTTAGATTAGGAGTTGAACATTAGAGACAATGTTCCATCCTGAGTGTGGGGTGGTGAGTCTTAGTGTTGTTTGTCCATGTTGCATGTGGTAAAAAAAAAATCCAAAAAAAATCAAAAAAAAAAAAATGTGTTTGTTCCTTTTGTCATGTGGTCGGTAAAAAAAAAACAAAAAATTCAAAAACAAAAAACAAAAAAAAAACAAAAAAATTGCCATTAGGTTGGGCACAGCCAAACTGCATGCAGTTTGCCTGTGTAAAAAGCAGTCTGCCTGTGCAAAGCTAATGGCTAAAAAACACCTAAAAATCAAAAAAATTAAAAACAAAACATTGTACTCTTGTGGTAACATGATGTAAATGAGTGTGATGCGTGTGAAATGAGTTTGTGCTTGAATGAAATCATCAAAATCACCCCACTAGTGTTGAATTGCATAGTTCTTCACAATGAGCTTGATATTTTGACTGACTTGGTATGCTTTGAATGAGCAAACTCGTTTAGCAACATTCTCTTTTGTGAGGATAGTGTAATGACTTGTGATGAAGTAGTTAGGTGGAGAACATTGACCATTCGACATGTTTGGATACCGTGCTTACTTGCATCTATTGTGAGTTTTTGATTTTGCAATGAGTCTCTCTGTTTTGAATGTTTTATGATGGGGTGAACTGTATCTTTATAAAAGAAAACACTACCTGACAAGTAAAATATAAGAAAGTTGCCATAACAATTAAAGTGTGGGTAAAAATGCCAAAATCGTGTGAGGCAATCACTCATTGCACATGGGGATTAGGAAAGATTCAATTGAGAATCGGTTCGCGACCGTACGATGTTGCTTATCAAGTACGATCCCCAGTAGAGTGAAGTGCCATTTGAGGAGTAATGACCCTCCACACGGACCGAGGAAAAGGAGTTAAAAGAAGCCCTTATGCGAGTGCTAAGAAGCAGAAATTGCTCTTGCTCGGTCACCGGTAGTAAGAAACAAATCCCACTTGTACTAAATACGACCTCTCGGCAAGCAAAAGCAGAAAGAGAGAAAGCCTCTCCTTGTCATAAAAGGTAGTGATGTGCTTAAAGTTAAAATCATGTTTGTGAAATGCTTCCCCCATTAGTTTTTGAGACTCATGCTTAATTGATTGCTTATGATTGGTGTGAGTAAGCCAGATTGTCCTCACGAGATATGCACCTCACTGATGTGGTTAGATTCTCCTAATAACTGTTGCACCATAAGTTGGTAACCACCCACTACCGACGATCAAAATTGAGTGTTGCTACTTGAGTTTTTGGATGGATTTGAGTCAGTCAATGGTTAAGGGTTGCAAAGACCTTGAGTGTGGGGTGAAAGTTATGACCATTAGAGCACAACTTGTCCGTTGAGAAAGAAACTACTGATTACAACAAGAGTACAAGGAAATTTGGTGTTTTGCTTTGAGTGTTGAGTCTGTAATGTGTCATTGTTATGGTTGGTTATGTGTTTGTGTCTTTTGAGTCGTTGCTTGGGGACAAACAACAATTGAGTGTGGGGTTGTGATATTCGGCTTTAATATATCGGGTTCTTGGACTTTATGTGATTATTCATGGTATGTTTTAGCCAATTGGTGCTATTTTAGGACTCCCTAACCCGAGAATGGTTGAAAAACCATTACTGCCTAGTGCCATGAGTTTGATATATTACAGGTGGAGAAAGCACGAAAAAGGAGCGAATGCACAAACAATAAATCATACTCGAATTACTGGTGGAGTATTCTTTTGGGCCGGACCAATTATTTTGGACGGAGGATCCTTCCTGGGCCAAAGAATTAGAGTTGGCCACAAGAAGTTGGGGAATTGGACACGGACAGAGGGGAATTCTTTGAGCTGGCGGCGGAAACAAAAAGGGAGGGTGCCAGGCAGCTTGGGGATTCTGGGGACGAGGGAGGAAATAATTGGAGGAGAGACGGCGCAGAGCAAAGGGCAACTTGGGGGGGATTTTCACAATTTGGGACGAGAGCAGTAGCGCGATAGAGCTGGGCGATCGCGCACCGAGGACAAGTACTGGAGCGAGCGTTTGACCAGCATCGCAGTTTGGGATTTTATCAAGTACTATCGTTCCTTTATTTTAAGTAGTAACATGATGATGAACATGATTGTGTGCTTTATTTTCATCATGAACTAAACCCCAATTTCTGGGAGAAACACCATAGGATGTAGCTATTTCTTGATTTGATGGATTGATTTATGATTCTTTTCCTCCAATCTCTATTGCATGAAATTGCTTAATGCTTTGTGTTGACTGGCCACCAATACATCGATTTGTAGTTAATTAGGTTATTAGCGACAGTGAAACCCTATTAACTGAACCTGTTTCATGTGACATAGCAACTTATCGAAGCGACAGTGGATTAAATAAGGTGCTATGCGGTCTTAAATAGGATATCGATCTTCAGGCTATATAGTTAATTCATTGAGCTACGACAGTAGGATTTGAATTGATTATTTAGTACGTAGTAATTCCCGACAGGGATAGCTAGCACAGTAGTGATATCCTGGCTGTAGAGGTATGGATTAAATTGATTGGAATATGTGAATTAATCTGGATATAATAGGTAGTGAGTCCCGGTGTTTCTCCCAGAGCTTTCTTCCATTGATTTTCTCCCGACCAATTTACTTTGCTTAATTAGTTTAATTACTTTGCTAGTAGATCATAGTTTCATCTCATTAAACATTTTCACATATAGTTTGCTCAATAAAATTGATAGAACTTAAGGTTGTACCAGTCCCTGAGAGACGATACCCGGACTTTCCGGTTTTACTACGAGATAGGAAATTGGCATATACGCTTTTGCCCTATCACCAAGTCAGCAATCCATGTAGAGGATCGAAGACCGCACCTTCTGCCTGCGGTTCTGCGCCTCGTAAAACGGAAACCACACCCCCTAGATGCGGTTTCAATGATGGCAAAATTACCAAAACGCCCCTGGAGGGTGCGGTCTGAAATGTATAAGTACCCCCCTCCTCATTTGTTGTTGTTATAAGCTTTTTAATTAATTTATGTACTAACCTTGTTGTTATTCTCTCGCAGGTTGGGGACGACGTGGATATATACAGCCAACGGTATTATTTGGATCAAGGACCTATTGATCCAACCGACTTGTACGACCAACCCAACCATCATTCAAGGGACGTTTGGAACGATCACGAGGTACATACAATTCTTCATCATTTTTATTTCTTTTATTTTGCTAATGTACTTAGTGGAATATAAATAAATTTGATCATTTTTAATCGTATTGGTTGATTTCAATAATTTAATCGAATACATAGCGCCACTTACTTCAACTCTTTATAAAGAGATGCACGTCTAAGGAAATGAGATTATAAGCGATTATCATGATTTTCCCATTCCCTGGGAAAAACGGGTATTAAGAGATCCTCGGATCCCCCCTTTTTCTGTCGAAAAAGCTGCGTTTCTAAGAAGATGTATACCTCTTCTAAGAGTCTAACGAGCGTTGCATTGTATTCGATTAAATTATTTAAAACAACCAATACGATTAAATTATTTACCAAACAACCAATACGATTTATGTTTATGAGTACAAAATAAATTTTATTAATTTCAAATATTTGAATATGTATGTATCTCTTTACATTATTATTCATTTAGAATGTTATTTATGTTAATTAATTGAGTATGTTTGTTTTATGATAATATGTATATATCTTGGAAAAAACCATCAATTATTTAAATTTGATTGTTAATAATATAATTATAATAAAATTCTAGTCGAAGTTAAATCATTTATTTTAATTAATTTAGTTATAAGAGAAAACTGTTACTAATATATCATAAATAACGTGGAAATTTTCCCTAGGAGGCATAACAAATACTCCGCTACAGGGGTACGACCAATGTGCTACCATGGAACCCGGTTATCTTGCCCTTTCTCAAAGGGGCACGGTTGGAGTCAATTAGGCATTTTGTAGGCATAAAAGTCGATCGTCAACTCATCATCGCATTGGTGGAGAGATGGAGATAGGAGACACATTGTTTCAACTGTCGCGAAGGAGAGTGCACCATCATGCTAAAGGACGCCGCCATCCTAACCCATCTGCCCATCGACGGCAAAGCGGTGGGTGTGAGTGATCATCCTCCAGAGGATCGTGACGGTATGACCGGTTGGCAGCATTTCATCCACAGTGTTTTGGGGTGAAAGTACCAACCAAGGGGAGCGTTGATGCGACGGATCGCATGGCACCATTGAGGAAACACCAAGTATCAATCACTTGGTTGACGAAGTATTTTAGGGACCATCACGATCTTGCCAAAAATGGGGTGCCCCTAACCGAGGAAAGTCCGGAGCTAGAGAAGGAAAGATATGCTCGTGTCTATCTCATAGGCTTGATCGGAGGAGTGTTGTTCTCCAAAAAATTGAGCAATCTAATTAGCTGTGGATGGCTTAGGATCCTCCTTGGTAGTTGGGATGAGACGGGGGAGTTGAGTTGGGCATCCGCTTGCCTAGCTAGTATCTACCACCAATTGTGCAATGCATCTCTCAAAGCTGTGAGGGAGGTCGGCGGCGCAATGTTCATATTCCAATTTTGGGCTTGGGAGCATCTGCCATGGATTGCAGCGCTCAGACATCCTGACTTCAATTGGGGTCTTGATCATCCCCTAAGACTCGAAGCTTATGGTTGTAGGTAAACTTCTCATACCCCATCATGATTTTCATAACACAATTTCCCTTGTGTTTTAGCTTATTGTAGTTTCATTATTGACTCATTAATAAGGTAGGTTGGAGCTTCAACATGCGACAACCTTGCCCAACACAAGTTGGTAGAGTATCGGAGGAGGCTAGAGCGACTTTGGGAAGGAGAGGTAACTAGAATACTTTGAAGTGCTATAACTTTTTTTCATGGAGTACATGTATTTTTCCAATTTTGTTTAACTTAAGTTACTCATTTCTTTTTGTAGTTGAATTTTAATCATATGTACTTGAGACCTTTCCTCCTATTTTAGTTTATTTAATTGAGTGTTGTTTTAGTTTTTTTTAGTTCTATGTACTTGGCTTACTCCATTTTTTTCGTGTTAACTTAAGGCTTGAGTGTTATTTTCGAGAGCGATATGTTATTAGCTTACTTGCAGCGTTGATATTGTGTTTTATGTTGAAACGAGCAATACATGGGTTATTTTCCAAACACGCCAAGTTTCAAGCATCATAACTCTAACTCCGACAATAAGTTAAAACATACATAATAAGTACCAACAAATGATAACCGCAAACTATGTAGCATTAGCTGAGTCCCCCACATCAGGACCCGGATTTTGCGGACCAATCCGACCTGAACAACTTCGTTTATCATGCCCTGGAACTCTGCATACTGAACATCGTCTTGGGTCTCGTGGTGGTCTTCCACTTTGATTCATTTCATTGTGAATTCTCTTTTTCCTAGGTAGACCCGGTTCACGCCTCTGTCCGAACGGCGGGATTATCAACTTTCCTTCGTACCCTGGCCAATAAGCTTCATCAGGCAATGCACGGAAACTCCGTCCATAGAAATTTTCAGTGAGTCGATATTGAAGAATGGACTGACGAAGTGACGGGGGTCTTTGCTCCTGTTTTTAATTACGACCATTGCATGAGTACATGGCCACCCTCTCCACTGATACTTCTGGCATGAGCACTCACCAAGTTGTCCTGAAATTGACCAAAACTTCCTGTCAATGGCCCCCACGTCTACCATCCTCACGATGTCTGGTCGTCACGCTAAACTCGCCATTTTCCCGGTTCATAACGGTTACACTGTGTCGACTGCTCTTGTGATTGTCATTCTCCATTACTTTGGTGATTTTATAGGCATGGACCTTTCCCTGTTCTTCATTCGTCCTTGCCCAGTGGAGTCGATTGACAAACCATGCATTCTTTTTCCAGAAAGTCATCTCCACAATGGCAGAGATTGGCAGTGAAGGAAAACCCTTGTAGACAGAGTTGATACTCTCACTTGAGTTCGTTGTGGCAATACCCCATCTTGTACCTCCATCTTTATGAAATGTCCACATGGATAGGTCGTGTCCATCTAGCCACTGTGCCCCTTCAGGGCATAACTCACGCATCTTCTGCAACTTCTCCTGGAATTTTTTCTCTTGGTAGGCAACAACCGAGGAACGCACAGAAAAGTATTACATTAGTCATAATTCGAAAATTTAGTACAATTAGAATGAGTTGTGTGCCATTCAAAATGCCGAGTCATTGCTTCATTATCAATGGCATGCCGCACCTCCTTCTTTGAGCCAAATTGTTGGTCCTTCATAAACCCAGTGAGTGGACCCCATACAGGGACCTCTAGCGGCTCCATGTCGCTGTCGACACACCAATCGTCGTCTGGAATGTGATTGTTGTTGGCCCTTCACTAACTGGTGCTGGCAGGGCATCTTCCATCTGATCCAGCTCATGAAAGGCACCTTCATCAACTCCATAATGGTAGTTGTGAAAACTATCACTGTCTGATTGGGAGTTGTACTCGGGTTGGTTGGCATGGTCCGGTCGAACTTCTTCTTCATATGATGGGAAAGATTGATGATGACCTTCACCTTGATCTTGGTACTGAATGGTAACTTTGGTAGGGATGATTTCCATATAATTCACCTCCACCATGGATACCTGATGTTTGATCGTCTCCAGAATGACCTCCAACGCCTACGACCGCCTAGGTGTAAACAAACATCTTGGCTTTGGAAAGATTGTTGGACCTCAAGAATTCGTGAATGGAATCTACTTCATCCTGGGTGGTTATGATATATTCCTCATGCCACAACGACCCGCCTTCTCTGTTTGGATATCGGTACACCATACGATCAACTCTTCTCATGCAATCCATGCAAGTAACGTTAGTACACATTTGATGGAGGTCTTCAAGCATCGGTCTGGTAGCGACCTTTATTTTCTGAAAATTGCCACCGACGTAGGTGACCCCCTTTCCGGTCTCTTCTGTGTAACCATTTCACCGTAACCCAAGTGTGAACTTTTGGAATTCCATATGCAAAAAAACTATAGTTCAGTTAATATCGTAAAAATCACAAATCACAATAAAAAGTAATACAAAATAAACTTACGAGTTAACATTAACCGCAAAAACACTAAAGAAGTAGGAAGCTACAACAGAAAATTGAAAAGGGAGAAGGAGAGGTGTGAAGAGAAGAGAAGAGGTTTCCCGGGGCTGTCTTTTATAGGCAAAATCATCAATGAAAACTGCATGGGAGGGTGCGATTTTCATTTGCCATGCAGCGCCACGTCTGTCAACCTGCATGGCAACAAGTTTGATGTCGGAAAAATGGGGACGATACACAAACCGCATGGGCATGCGGTTTGTGTGGGCAAAACCACATGTTGAGGGTGCGTTTGTTTTGGAGAAACAAAACTGCATCCCTAACGTGAGATTTTGCTAGGGAAACCCAAGAACCGCACCTAGGCCATGTGGTTCTGTTAGGTCAGACACGAAACCGCATGGCCAAGATGCGGTTTTGGTCCAGAACCTTAAACCGTACCTTGGGTGTGCGGTTTACATATAAACCGCACCTTGTGCGTGCGGGGTGTACGGTTTACATATAAACCGCACCTTGTGTGTGCGGTTCACATTCAAACCTCACCTTGGAGGTGCGGTTTTAAAAAAAGGGGTGTTATTTTTGTAATTTCTATAGGTTGGGTGCTATTTTTGTAATTTTTTTTAAAAGGTGCTATTTCTGAAAAAATCCCGACGTTTTGTAACTAAGCAGTCAACCTCGAGCCGGATTCTAACAACTAACTGCCTGGGAGTAGAGATTCCACCATTATTATACCAATGACGACAGAGTTCCTTCCACACATGTCCAATGACTAGCCTTCATAGGAGACTTTAACTCGAACATAGTTTGAACTTCCCTGCCACATTCCTGATGCCCAGGTTATGTGTTAATCCCAATCACTGAAAAATGGAATGCAAACAGGGAAGACAACTTGCATTGTGCAGAGGAAAAAAGCACACCGACAAAATAGATGCTCTATACTCTCAAAACCACCTGGGCAAACCACCCAACACCCAGAAGTAGTTTTACCCCACAGTAATAGTTTGTCAGCTGTAGTGTTCTGAACAATTAGCCAAGCCAAGACACTTTTCTTGGGAATAGAGAACTAATCATACTAGAACACGTGTGGAAAGAACCCTTGATGCTCAACCAAACTCTTTTTACTGAGTAATGAGGCATGAGACTACCATCCCATAGGAGGGATGCATCAAAATCTGTAATGAATCGGTCAGGAATAGTCCTTGGCTTCAAAATATGCTTCCAGATACAAGATCCTACCGAGGTAGCAGAAAATTTCCAGATGGTATTCGACTTGAGTCTATACAGTTTGATCCGTGCAACCTAGATATAACCACTACTAGCCAGGATTGATCAATGATAACACAAGCTTTATTCCACATACGAAAGTCCTTAATCCCCAACCCCCCTTCAGACTTCATCAACACTACAAATGACCAGGTAGCCGGCGCTTTATCCCTTGTACCCCCTTCTCCCACCCCACAAGAAGTTATTACATATTTTCTCAATATCCTCCAAGATAGTTGTTGGCAGATTGAACACATTCATCCAAAACTGCAGGACGCTAGAGATAACAGAAGAAATTAGTTGTATTATACCTGCATAGCTCAAGGTTTTAGTATCCTAGCCTCTAATATGTGTGTTTATCCGATCCATAAGAACATGACAATCAACCCTGCCTAACTTTCCTAAGATTAGTAGGACTCCCAGATAACGAACATGTAGAGAGACAATTGGGAACCCTGTACATGACGAGAATAAGTCATTTTTTGCAATAGGGATCCCCACGCAAAAGAGTTGGCTCTTCTCTGGATTACATTTAAGACCCGAGCACTTATAGAAATCATCTAATACTCTACGTATGCCAGCAACTGTCCTCACATAACCATTTGAAAAGACAAGCAAGGCATCTGCAAAGCAAAGATGATAATACCTAGCTTCTTTCACCTAGGATGATAAGGCACTTGATTCAAAATGGCAGCTTTGTGTAACAAGCATGAGAAGACTACCATAGCGATAGCAAAAAGGAAAGGGGATAGAGGGTCCCCTTGCCTTAAATCCTTTCCCTCACTAAAAAGCCCACGGAGACCCCCATTGAAAGCTACTCTGAAACTAGGAGAGGTGGAACAAGTACGCACTAGCTAAATATAGGGATCCGGGAAGCCCATATCATACATGACTCGTAACAAAAACCTCCAATTGACCGAATCAAAGTCCTTCATAAGGCCAATCATTACTACACAACGTGGGGTTATATACGATATATGATAATCCTTAACTAACTTAGAGGCCAGCAAGATATTATCACTAATGATTCGACCTTTCACAAAAGCAGATTGTGAAGGACTAATAATTCATGGGAGTACTAAAGTCGTTCTGTTTGCAAGCAACTTAGCAATGGCCTTATGTAGAACGTTACAACATGATATAGGCCTAAAATCTTTCATCATTTCTAAATGCTGAAGCTTTGGGTTCAAGGTTAGAATTATAGAATTTACCTCGGGGGGAAGCATACCAGTCTGAAAGAAAGAGATAAAAATAGCAACCACATCCGAGCCAATAGTCTCCCAATCAGCCTTATAAAAATCTGATGGAAAACCATCAGGCCCCAGGGCCTTATCCGAAGCCATAGAAAAGAAGACTGCACGAACTTCCTCTCTAGTTGCTGGACTGGGCAAGATCTCCAGGTCCTCGAGTGAAAAATGAGCTGAGCTCTAGAAGAAACGAAGTTGTTGATTCCATCGTCAAGATCGAGTCGGTACACTTGTGCAAACCATTCTTCTGGGAAAACCTTGGGTACTTGCTAGCTCGAGCTCCGATCATAGCAGACCCAAAACTTTTCTTACGAGTGTCTTTTGCATAAAGATTAAATTAAATTAATAATTAAAAATAATATACGATTTCTTAAGAAAAAATCTAACTAGTACAAGTTATAACAAACTACCGCGATGTGAATTCATATTCTGAAAAAATTATAAAATGGGCTTACTATCTATGTCAAATATCCAATATATTCTATTAAACAATTATCCACGAAATTATCGCATATTCAATTCTGAAATTTGTTATTGGTAGTCCAAAGTGAAAAAAAAACTCTTTCAACATTTGCAATTGCATTCAATAAAATTAATATAATTTCTAGAAGCAAACAGACCAATGGATATAATAAATTCACTATTATCTTCACGTCAACTAACCTTCTTCATTTTCGATACAATTGTAGTAATTCTCAAACTCTTGCATGACAATACTAGAGAGGGTCTCCTGGGACCAAAGAAGAGGGAGTTGTCCTGAGTCAAGAAGGATGTTTTTTTATTTGTATGTTCAAGGGGAGAGATACTAACAGTGAATCGAAATTGGTTTTCATTTTTAATTTTCTCATAAAATTCAGTATTCAGTTGAATTTTATTGAATGTATAAATACTTTTAATATTTCGAAGTTAAAACAATGACCGTGCGGATAACATTTCTTTAATATAATGATCAGGCTAAGACTTCCAATTTTAGAAACTACCACTATTTTTCCTCTCTCCTAAACTCGAAATTACCGCAAGTGAATATACAATTATTTCCCCAGGACACCCTCGACGTCATTGGCTCCGTTCATGGTCATATAAAGATTTTTTAAGTCTGCATTTTGGGTGAGCGGGATGTAATAAAGTAAGATTACAAATATTAGATAGCAGGCAAAACCGCAAAAGGAAAAGAAGTCCTGATGATGTGAATCAAACGAGGAGATCGCAGATAATGAGGCTTTAAAACATTCTTGGATCCCATTTTGGTCTGCATAGGCCTTCTGACGACTGTCTGCCTTCAGAGTCGAACTATAACAAATTTAGGCCTGCTACTATAGAAACTTTCTTTCTGCTGAGAACAAGCCTAATGAACAGGCCTGGGATGTGCTCATAGCTTTTACAATTACATGCCCCAGCTTTCTTTCTGGGCTAGCTCTTGATTGTTTTGGCAAAGTTACTGGACTGTTTTCAGCCCACAAAAAATAATAAGTTGATAACCACATCCTCTCACACCAATGGTAATCACACTTTGCCACCAATCCTTGGATGAGAATTCAAGAGCTCACCAAATTAAATTTTTATTATAAAATAAGGGTATCCTTAATTAAGCACCACAACCATGCCCACCCAAGGGTAGTAGTCCATGCACCGAATTACTCGTTAATTACTTCCTAAGCAAAGTTCTATAATATAAAGAGTAAATCAGATGGTATCACATACTCAGTAATAAAAAAATCACTATTTAGATCATGAATAGATTAGAATTTAGAATTGGGTAAACACCAATGTTGTTATAACCGAATCCGTGCATGACCCGATAACGTGAATGACTCCCATTTTAATGATCCAATCGATTTAAACCATTTGAGAACCGGTACCTTAGAAACATGAATATCATAAATAAAAGACACACAAGGTAATATTTTATAATTTAATATCTAAAATGAATTTTACTTTACATGTACTATTTTGTAATTTTACATTATATATATAATATATATATAGACATTAGAAACCGTACCTATCCATTCTAGGCGGCCGCCCCTTTCTCATCTCTATCAGTTCCTCCCTTTCTTTTAATTTCTCACTCTAAGAACAAAGAAATCTCTCATTTATTTACTCATCTCTCTTGGGATCCACATCTCATTAGTTTGGCCCGAACTATATACAAACTTTCTATTTTGGCCCATGATTCCGGAAATTGCTCTTATCGTCTGAACTATGTAGCATACTTCCTTATTTGGCCCGGAGATTGGTTTGACCGTCAAATTGGACGGTCAACGTAGTTGACTGTTAGTCAAGGTCCAGCTCACTTGCCACATAAGATGAGAAGGGAATAAAAATTTTATATTTTGAATTTATGTATTATTTACTTTCTAATAATAATAATAATAGTAAACGAAAAAAATAATTAAAACTCCCACTTTATCCCTTACACAAGTTACACTCTCACCCTATCCTCCCATATTTCCTCAATCGAAAAAAATCCCCTCTTCCGTCCAAAGCTATATTCCCCGAAAATCTCTATCTTTCCGTAGCACAGATGTAACTAACGAAAACGTGAGCTACAAACCGGAAGTAAGAAGTTCAGAGAACCAAAGTACCAGACCATAGAAGGAACTCATACGAACAAACAGCCATGTTCCAACTTCCAATCTACCGTTCCCGTCATCACAGCTTCCAAATATGAGCTCGGTCCATCATTTCTTCAGTAATTATAAAATTCATGAGGACCAAGGTCGGATCGCATTTTACTCGGTCTGATCCGGACCATTGCACACCCCTAGGCGGAAGAACCAATATCCCTGTCACTTGCTGCGACGGGTCCGCCTCTGGGCTCATCGGTGATTCCTGTGGTGAACTCCAGGACGTATTTGCCCAACTCAAGAGTTAGTCTACGATCGAGCTGCCGCAAGTAGTGATGGTCGGCAGCTAGAGCAGCGGCAAGTCGAGCGTGCTTAAGGCACTGGTCGGGAGGGATTTCCTGCCTCGCGGGAATGAAATCTGCACGCGGCGGGCGCTGGTTCTGCAGCTGGTGCAAACGAACAGGAAAGGCGACGGGAGCTGTTCTAAAAGTTTGTTTACCTATAATTTCTGGTCTTTTCTTTGCTAGGCTTTTCGGATAGGGTTCTGGGTTTGAAGAACATGAGTTGGTGAGAGGGTTAGAGTTCTGGGTTTGAAGAACAGAAGGCGGGAAGGAGGAGATAAATTGGGGTTTTTTATTATTTTCTTTTTCGTTTATTATTATTATTATAATTAAGTAAAAAGAATACTGAAATATTAAAAAATAAATATTTTATTCACTGTTAAGTGACGTGGCAAGTGAGGTGGATCTTGACTAACGGTCAACTCCGTTGACCGTCCAATTTGACGGTCAAACCTGCCTCCAGGCCAAATATGAAAGTATGCTACATAGTTCAGGCTAGAAGAGCAGTTTTCGAAACCACTGGCCAAAGTAGAAAGCTTATCAATAGTTTGGGCCAAACTAAGGTATTAACCCTATTCTTTTCCTCCATCTTCTTCTTCCTTTTCTAGTTCGATTTTGGATCTCCTTTCTTCCTCTCATTGGTAGAGGAGCAGCTAGAACTGCTGGCGCCGGCGAGAAGAGGAGCACACTGCGATGGGCAGAGATAGTTGGAGTGCAGTCGCCGATAACGAGCTGGATGTGGAGGGGGTCACCGACAGTGTTCACCGAGGAAGTTTGTCGACGGCGACATGGACTAGAGCCGCAGGCTCGATTTTTTTTCAATCTTTTTTTAATTAAACCCAACGGTCGGAAGGGAAAAGTCGGGCGATCGACTCGAGCAGTTAACCACCTCCGCCACTCGTCAACCGCTCTAAAAAGTTGTTCAGGCTAAATGACTGTGTCGAGCCAATTTTGTGGTCTGGTGGCGATTTTTGCGGTTCGGCCGATTGGCTCGGCTCGGTCTTAATAACACTGGTAAATAAAATATATTAGCCACAACTATCAAAATAATAGTCAATCGTTAAGTCTCCATTAACTTATCTGTTAGATGATAATGAGTTGGCAAATGTTATACTAATGTGGACGATATATACTAACATGGCAGTTAAGGAACGCGTTAAGGTGGTTATTAGAATTCTAGTAGCCACCATGGCTACATTAGTATTCACCATCTATTTTTCTTTTTTGGATATTTTTTTAGTGTCACGATTAAGATTGCCCGAGGGCAATTTTGGAAGAAAAAATAAGACCACACCTGATTATTCTATATATTGTACACTAACCCTATTTCTACGAACTCTCCCTCCAGTCAAACACTACGCAAACTCTCTTTCCTTCCCAACGACGATGAACTCCGCCCGCCTGCACCGGCCATCCCTGCCTCTCTTTCTTTCTCTCTCCCACTTTTGCCCGTTTGCGCCGGCAGTCCCTGTCGCTCCCTCTATTTCTGACCCTGCCCCTCCCTCTCTCTCCTAACCTCCGACGGAAAGTCGTCCCTGACCCTCCCACCGACAACCCCTAGTTGTGCCTGATGGAGCAATCGGGGCGAGTACGGGACCACGACGGCGCTGGCAATCCCTCCCCTACCTCTATTTTGACCCTCTCACCTCAATGGTATTGTTTTTCTCACATAGGTATTGATTTTGCCGCATTAGTAATGATATTAATTTGCATGTATTGGTATTGATTAAATCTGCAATGATATTGGTTTTTTTGTGAAATTGTAGTGTTTTTATTTCTCGAATAGTATTGGTGTTTTGTGCAATGTTAGTGTTTTTAATGGATTAGTATTGATTTATTGTTTGGGTAAATACTTGGCTGCTACCCTGGTTCCATCTCTTTCCTGCATCCAACACACGCGTTCGTGTATTATTGGTCTATTTAGTGTTTGTATATTTCTTAGTTAATTGTTATCCTTGATTTTAATTTCCGAGAGTTGCTAATGGTAAGTGACAGAAAGCCGTTTAGATGGCTAGTGAATTTTTTTAATTTATCCTGGAATTGTGAATTATTCAGAGTTTAATACAAGAATTGAATTAACGTTTTTATTGAGTTGTAACTAGGGTACCGTCCGAATATTGTATATTTCCATACTATCGTGATAAGGGATGACAAAAATATTGGGACAAATTACGGTGGTTACTACAAAGTAGTAATCACCATGGAAAAATAAATTATATTCATTAATTTTTTTAATAAATTACATTTTCGGTAGTTACAAAAATCTATTAATTACAATTTTTTCTCTTTCTCTCACTTCCGTAATCTCCAGCCAGATCTCCTTTCCTTATTTTTCTCAATCTTTATGCAAAAGAAAAAAAAATAAAATCACTACCAATCCATTAGACAACCACTACCACTTTCAAAAATATCAATACCATTGCAGAAATAAATCTATACCATTCAACGAAAACTACCAATATAAACAATCTACCAATATAAATCTATACCATTTAAAAAAACCCAATACCATTGCAGATTTAATCAATACCAATACATGGAAATTAGTACCATTGCATTATAATTAATACCAGTGCGACAGAAACAATACCAATGCAACAAAATCAATACTAATCCATAAAAACGCTGCTACTTATTAACTAATACCAATACATGCAAATCAATATCAATACAATTACATCACTACCAAACAACAATATCATTGCAAAAAAATACCAATGGAAAAAAACACTACTACTACAAAACAATACTAATCCATACAAACAAAATACATATCAAAACAAACAAAAACTACCGCTTTCCCGGCTGTTGTTTTTGCCCTGAGGAGATGCAGAAGAATGGAAGAGAAGGGGGTGGGAGAGAGAGAGATAGAGAGAGAGATAGAGAGAGAGGAAGGGAGTGGATCAAGTTTTTGTGGGAGGAGATGGCAGGGTGTAGGAGTGGAGGGGGTGGGGTGGGGTGGGGGAGAGGGGAGGGGAGTGGAGTGGAGGAGGTGGGCGGAGGTGGGGGAGAGAGGGAGGGGAGGAGGGAAGCTTTAGATCGAGAAGAAAGGGAGGGGACGGGTAGCCTGCGGTCGGTAGCCGTCGGCTAGGGTTCAGCTAGATGGTATGGTTGATTAGGGTTTGGGTAGAATATATAGAATAATCGGGTGTGGACTCTTTTTTGTTTTCAAAATTATCCTGAAATAAAATTAATCGTGAGATTAAAAAAAGAAGGAAACAAGAAAAATGGACGGCAGATTGTGATGTAGCCACAGAGGCTACTAAAATTTTAGTTGCCACCCTAATGCATTCCCAAAAATATTCATAAATGTGGATGTCCGTTTGAATCCGGCCTAATTGGGTAGGGTAAAATTCAAACCCAAATGATTTTTAGTGGGTACAGTTAAAATTCGAACCTGAATATTATGGAAATGGGTGGACATGGTTTTCTTACTATCCAACCCGAACCGGTCCGATTATATACATGCTTATGTAATTTATCTAGAAATAATCATTATTTTTCTCTAACATATTTTATATTTAGCATACAAATATAATATTTTCTTGAAATTGTGTTCTTTTAATTACTCCTTTTCATTCTAGTGATTTATTGTTGTACTTTTTGTCTAATGTAATGTGAGTATACGTGTGAATGTTATAATATTGGGTGGAATTAAAAAAATTATTATCTACTTCATTATTAATCTCATTAAAAATCAAAATGAAAAAAAGCCAACATTTGAGAAACAAAAAAATCAAAAAAGAAACCAATGAATGGGTGTGTTGGCTGCAAGATGGTGCTGCAACCAGGGTAGCAGCCAAGTATTGCCCTTATTGTTTTGTTGTTTTCAAGAAAAAAATTACTACTAAAACAATAAGCACTAGAATACCACGAATAGAACGGTATTTAAAGGAAAATAAAACCTAATAAAATCCTAATAGAACTAGGCAGCAATTAAGGTAAAATTCTACACTAAAAAGGACACAAAATTCGGGTTTAAACTCTCTTTCTTCAAGCGCAAGTAAGTTGCCAGCAAACAGTCCAAAAGCAGCTTTCGTACTAACTTTGAGCCTTTCGTTCGAGGCCTTCCAGAACTCCGATCTTTCATCCAATTCCTTCCCTTGGTAGATAAACATTCCTACGTTCATGTTGTAGAAGCCTTTTCACTTGCATCTCATCCATGCTCCTTGAATTGAGCTCCAAAGTAGGCTTCACAAAACAGTTTTCTGCCTTAGCCATTTTCTGGCAGTTTTCCAGTAAAACCCTTAACCTTGAATTTATACCAAACCAATTGAGAGAACCATGCCTCCAAAGTATGTACCCTGAACACGGATTTTGACTTAGCCAAATTCTTCCCTTCTTCTTCCCAACTTCATTAGCTTCTTCGTCAAGTAAATTAAACATGTATAATGGACCATTTGGGATCATATCAGGCTTCCCCTCTTCAAAAAGCTTTGCCTTCAAAGCTTGTTCTTTCATCTTGTCAAAATCATCACAGAATTGATCCCAAATTGGATCGAAAGTGGGCTGTTCAAACACAATGTTCGGCAGAATTTTAATAACTTCAATGTCAGCTTCAATCTGTTCCAGCAGGTTTGGCACTTGTAGCGAGGTTAAGCACGCTTGCTGACATTGATTCGAACCTGTAGGAATGACCAATTTCACCGAAAATCGATTGCCAAAATTCCCAGGTCGTCGGACGAACCTCTCATACATGTTCTTGCTCGAAGGAATTGGGGGTTTTAAATGGAGCCATCCCCAATCTGATTCGATTACTCCACGAGATTCGCCACGCCTCCAATTGTAATTCTGGGCCTTTTCCTAGTCTCGGTTCGTCACCGTCGTTGTCGAATCTGCTCCTCTTCCTTTCCCGCCGTCTGCGAGTTTCAAATGCCCAGGACTCCGAAAGTGAAATCTCCATTTGGGGCTTTTTAATTCTGTCATTTCCGGATCAAATTGATTGATTCTACAGTATCTAGGGAGTGAATGTGATGATTTTGCAGTGGCCATTGGCGCCGATTCATGCCCAAACGTCCCTCCCCATTCACGCGAATTCCCTTCTTTGTTGTGCGCGTCCAGAAGCATATGAACTTGAATTCGATCTTGCGAATTGGACATGTTGGAGTGGATTCTTCCTTCTTAGGAGATTCCTGGTTTCCCTTGGAAGGTTTGGGCGGCATTGGCTAAGCTCGACGCGGCTCCAACTACTCCGACCAATTGCTCCTCTCTTCTGCCCTGTTTCATTCGAAGAAGGGGAAGAAGCTCCGCTGCTCGTAATGGATTCTGCAAACCAGTTCGTTTCGTTCCATGAAAGCCTTCAATTGAGTTTCTAGGAGACATTTGGAGCGTGCCTGTAGTCTTCTCTTGGTTCGAATCTTCTCCAGTGGCGCTACCCACGAGAGTAGTATTGGTGCTCTATTCTGCCGGAGCTGAAGAAAGCGCGACAGCTCGCGTCGCCGGGGCATTTAGCGCATCGGCAGGCTGATCCAGGCCCTCTCCTTGCTCGTCCGTAATTCCTTCAACCTTCATAGAGTTGCATGGAGACTCGTCGTGCTCCGATTCTACCGCTTCATCATTGGCAGAAGTGTCGAAGTCGCCACTTTGTTTTGGCGGCGTAACACAAGGGTCGGGTACGACAGTGGGTTCTGGTTCTGGTACTGTCTTCTGTAGCTTCTGAAAGCTCAGAAAATTGAAACCCCTTCGTCTCTGAACCCATAACCGAGCTTGAGATTCTTTCCCCATGTTTTGATTCTCCTCCATATGCTTCTGGTCGTTGTAACGTCGTCCGGCGAAAGGGGCACCAGAACGATCTTTTTACCGTGATGCTCAAACTTGTGGCGATTGGTTCGACCATCATGTGTGACCTTACGATCGAATTGCTAAGGTCCACCCAGTATTAGGTGAATATAATTCATCGAAACAACATGACAAATTACCTTGTCTTCGTAGCTGTCCCGTGTTCATTGATCCAGCTGAGTTGGTAAGGCTCAGGGTGCCTTTGCTTCGTCAATCCGAGATTTTGGACGACGTCTAGGATGATGATGTTCGCACAGTAGCCTCCATTGATCACGAGCGATAATAATTTCCCTTCGACCAAGCATCGACTGTGAAACAAATTGTCTCGATGTTTGTCGGACTCTCTATGCTTAATGACGACTGGTGGAGGCTTTTCTTTGCCACAAAATCGAAGCTGTTGGGCCTTGGAACTGCTCGCTACCATCTCCTTTGCGTAGAACAGAATTTCCCTCGAATTTCAAGTACAAACAGCGGCTGTAAAGGTACGTACAGGGGCTGCCCTGTTTTGCTCGAGAATTTTGCTTGTACGAAACAACAAGTTTTTGTGCTCTTCTTCGCCTTTGTGTAGAATTGGGCTTTGATACCACTTAATACGACCCTGGGGGTGTATTTTTATCAAAGTCACGCAGCAAACAATCAAACCGAAGATTGATTGAACTCGAATCAAGAACAACGCGTTTTTAATACGAAATTGGGATAAGACGGAACCAACGGACAATTCCACACCTGAGGAAAGCTCTCATGGTATAAAAGGGTAGTTGCTCGACCACGATTGAAGGGACTATTCAATCGATACACAAGCTCAGCAAGTTTGGAATCCACCAAACCCAAAACAAGTTCGCAAACTTGCAAAACAAACTGTTTCTTTTCTATTCAATCAACTCCGAATTTTTACAACAAAATAGAACGGTATTTAAAGGAAATTAAAATCTAATACAATCCTAATAGAACTAGGCAGCAATTAAGGTAAAATTCTACACTAAAATGGACACAAAATTCGAGTTTAAACTCTCTTTCTTCAAGCGCAAGTAAGCTGCCAGCAAACAGTCCAAAAGCAGCTTTCGTGCTAACTTCGCGCCTTTCGTTTGAGGCCTTCCAGAACTCCGATCTTTCATCCAATTCCTTCCCTTGGTAGATAAACATTCCTACTTTAATGTTGTAGAAGCCTTTTGACTTGCATCTCATCCATGCTCCTTGAATTGTGCTCCAAAGTAGGCTTCACAAAACAGTTTTCTGCCTTAAACCATTTTCTGGCAGTTTTCCAGTTTTGAGGAAGCAACTTTGAGGCCTGGGAAAACAACCTTAATCACATCTTCTGGATCCACAAAGCATACCATTGGAAATATGACAACTTTATCTTCAAAAAAAAACCCCTTAACTAATTGAATTTCTACCAAACCAATTGAGAGTACCAGGTTGGTATTGTGTGGTATTTTTTGGTCATGTAATTTGTTCACCCAAAAATTTGTAGATCCAATAGATCATGATGAACTCGTTCCTTCTGTGCAAACGTTTTAAAAAACGAATTAAAAATGAAGAAGATACCATATGGTATGCAGTTGGTAGTGACAGGCTAGAATTTTTTATTCTAAAAAAATACTGAAAATTGATCTCATTTTGTAGAACTTAAAGAACTCGTTTCATCTGTGCAAAAAAAAAAATCGAGTTAAAACGAAGAAGATATGAGTCGATTAAGAAAGGTAGGGAAAATAAAAATGACCTTTAATTCTCCATCCTTATATCTGGTTTTTCTAAATAAAAGGTATAGATTTAGTTATTAATGGGTGCATAACCCTATCTTGAGCCCCTATTTGACATCAAACCGAGATTTATACTAACCCATTTGGAATTGTTCCGGAAAGGCTATTCCTTGATAGGTTCAGGAACTCCAAGCTTCCTAAGGAGCTCGGTCTAAATGGGATTGGACTAGTGAGCGAGTTCCGACTGAGATCGAGAATTAACAGATGAATCAAATTGCCCAGTTGAGCTGAGCGCATCAGATTGCCCAGTTGCCTCGAACTGGTTGTTGCGGCTTAAGATATGGTCAGTAACCAATGGTTACTAACCTATGAGTAACTAAATCTGGATCTTTAGATTTAAGTGGGTCCAGAAAATTCAGATCTAAGGGTTGTCAATTAAAGACATTTTATTTTCCCTAGTTTTCTTAATCGGTTCTTATATTCTTCATTTTAACTCGGATTTCAATTTTTTTCATAGATGGAACGAGTTCGTTGTGCTCTACAAAATGAGATCAATTTTCAATATATTTCGAGAAACTTTTTTTTTTTTTACCAATAACATACCTTATGGTAACTTCTTCATTTTTAAGTCATTTTTTAAAACGTTTACTCAGAAGGAACGAGTTCATCATGATCTATTGGATCTATAAATTTCTGGGTGAAAAAACACTGGATCAAAAATTACCATACTTTACCACTATGGTATGTGGCTGGTAACTTGTGGTAACTTGTAGTAAACAATGATGAAAGTCGTAAATGATAGTTAATATACTCCTACTATATCATGTATTCAACCTTCTTACCCTATTGGTATGTTCATACCATCACGGTACGCTTTCTTACCATATGGTATTAACTTTTTTTTGGTCATATATAGGTGTATAATACCATAGGTATGTGTACAATGCAGTATGCTTACAAATATGTAGTAATTGAAATAATCAAATGTGGTGGTCGATAGCTACTCAATCCGCCAATAAAAGAGCCTTTTTAGCAATTAAATGGGCAGCTCTGTCAGTATCCTAAATAATGCAAAAAAAGATATAAGGGGATACACAACACGCGCCAAAACCAGAGAAACCAGAGGATATATCATCCTTGCCGATAGCAAAAACGGAGCAGCCATTCGATTACCACGTGCGTGCAGAACCGCCAGCTTTTCTGCTGCATCTGCAAAATAGAAAATAGACAAGCTTATGCCACAACAGTCCAAGAAAGATTGCCTCTTAGACAGCCGCTATGGCCTCGTGCCCTTCCCACATCCTATCCGATGACCGCGGTCCAGAAATGATGTCCGCCTTGACCAAGAATTTCTGCAAATACAAAAACAAGGCCCAACCCAAGCTGGCAAATGGGCTAGATAGAGCCCAACACAGACAACAACAGTGCTTATCCACCTTCCTCACCTAAAAAAACTTATCCACCCACAACCAAAGTAGCCTAATTAATTAAAAGGAGTAAGTAAATAAATAGTTAAATACTCAAAGGACAACTTATCGCTGGGCTTACCTTTTGTGTGTTAGGATAAGAGCAAAAGAAAGCAAGGCTTAGACGTGAATTAAAAGCAATAAGGAAATAAATAAATAAATAAATAAATAAATACTCAAATATGGTATTAAATTGGAGCATAACATATGGTAATGACTGGTAAAAAAATTATTCAATTTTTTTTTACTAAAAATATATCAAAGTGGATATTATTTTAAAGAACGCAGTTAATATGATTTATCTGTGCAAAAAAAGATTAAATTTCGACTTAAAACGAGAAAGAAATCGTCCGTTAAAGATTAAAAGGGAAAAGATAAAAGACTTTAAAGGAGAGAGAGAGAATACGAATGTCATGTTGATGTGGACAGGTGTAACACCCCGATATTTCAGATTTGAGTTCGACCTTATTAATTGAGCGGTTAGTTTAATAATTACGTACTATGAGTGAGAATCGCAGATTAAGAATAATAATATTATAACATTATTATTATTATATTACTATTATAACTTTATTTGTAAATATATATATATATATATATATATATATATATATATGTATGTATAAAAAGAGGCCGCGGGCGGCGGCTCAACCCTCACAAATCAAGTGGCGCAGCAGACCCCCTCTCCCCTCGCCTTTTTGAGTTTTTTCCCAACCATCCTTCCAATTTGGTTTTTTTCCCAAAAACCAGTACGCCGCCCAGAAACCCTTCTCAGCACCTGCACGCAGCAACAGCACGAGGCCGAGCAGAGAGGAAGAAGGAGGGAAAAAAAGGGGAATTGAGCGTCGGGTTCCCTTCTCCCACCGTCGCCCCTGTTTCCGATCCCGGCCCCGATTCCAATCTCATCCCTTTCGCGTTTCTAGCGGTAACGTTTGAGGGTTCGATCAACTAGGAGATCAACTTCTCGGGTCATCCAACCTAGGTCTAGGCACGTTCTAGAGGTAAGGGAACTTGATCCTTTTGAATTAGATCGATCGATTTGGTGATTTTTCATGAGGATGCACTTCTGGGTTTTAGCAAAAGGCTTTACAGGCTTTTAGTGACAGATTTTGTTTGATCACTAAAGCTGCTGGAAATTTCTAGAAACATATTTTTAGATATTTTAAATTTTTTCGAGCCTCCCTGAAGGTTGTTTTCTTAATTTAACAATTTTATAAATTGAGTGACGCCTAGGAGATGATTGTAATTTAATTTGTGGATTTTTGAAGATGTATTTTTATTTTTAGAAATTTTCCTAATATTCATTTTAATTAAATAAAAATCTTTCCTATGGGTTTTTAAGGGTTTGATAATTTCCCAGGGTATAGGTACTCATTATTGACATGGGAAAATTATTGTCCAAAATTATAAGAAGGTTCAAGTTAGGTGAAACATTCGTCCAAGATAAAAATAATTAAGAAAAATTGTCGTTTTTTAATGGATAAATTCTAGAAAATTTTAATGGGGGTTAAAGGACCTTTGGAATGAGGTTCAAGGACTGGAGTTTGAGGAGAGGATGTTCTAGTGATTCACAAGGGATTTTAAATCAATAAAGGTCGTCTAAAAAAATGGATTCTTATTAATAGGTTTCCCCAAGATAATCCAGCTAAGGAGGGGTTTCTTCGAGGAAGGAGTTGATGAGTCATCTTTTCGAGGTGAGTGTAAAGGGGGTAAAATCTCTATCGTAGGTCTTTTAGTTTCCGCTTTTCGTTCAAGTTATTATTTAGTTAATTTTTCTATTATGCGCGATATGTGTGTGAGGCATCCCACCGCCTGCGAGGGTGGAGGCACGCGTTGTGCTATGTATGAATGTATGTGATGTTGTATGGATTGATGGTATGAGGAACCCCTGGGCGGTTGGGTCACTACTGGACGGCGAGACGTAACGCAGTAGTTGACGAGCATGGACTGGACGGCGAGACGTAACGCAGTTCCGTTGCCGAGTTTGGGT